AATAATGCATTCATTTCATTTTCTCTGTCCAGTCTTCCATCTGTCTGATCATCCTTCCATCCCTGACCACACATCTCTGATATTGTTCTGCTGGAGCTTGTTTTACAGACGAGGTTCTTTGCTGTATCTTATCTTGACACCAATGGTAAACATTTGGTTTAGATGCGCCATGTGACCAAATGTCCCCTCTGAAAACAGTCTAACATTCTCTAACATTGGTTAGAAAAAGCAAAAACAAGGAAAGCAAAAGGGGAAAGCTTTTTTATATATATATATATATATTGTGTCATAGGCTCAGATTTTTAAGGAAAGAAAGTCAAAACTGATTGATCCATATCCATGGATGGAGGCCTTAGTGCGTTACGGGCCGTCGTTATTTTGAGGCCGAGCCTGCTGACCTTTGTTGCATGTCTTTGCCTCTCTCTCCCAATCATTTTCCTCTTAGCCCGCTTTCAAATAAAGGCCAAAAAATATATATATGTCCCCACTTTCCTTGATGGGCCCTTGACTGGCTAAAGAGAAGCACCTTCTCCAGGTCAGACCATGTAATTCAGTGTAAGGGTGGAGTCCAGTAGCTGAAAGTTGGGGGGATTTTACTGGTAGTTGCAGTGAGTGGGCTGCCATTCAGCGGGCATTTGACTGGGGAGGACCATTTTGAATGGCTGATACTGTATATGTGTATATGTACAATATGCTCAAACAAAGGGAAAACTTAAACCAATATAACTTCAATTAAATCTAACTTTGTGAAATCAAACGGAGCCATCTCTATAGTTATGCTGCTATAGGCTTATACTTCTGGAGGACGTAGGGACCCCTATTTCATCGTTCTGCTTTATTCTATCTCTATTCTTCCACTCTGCAGAATCTGTTATTTCAATCTAATGTTCTGCTTTCTCTGCTTTTTCTCATAGTCAGCCTCAGCAGATGGACGCTCACCGACTCTGGTTCTGCTGGAGGTTTCTTCCTGTTAAAAGGGAGTTTTTCCTCTCTACTGTTGCTACAAGCATGCTTAGTGTGAGGGATTGCCTTCCAGTCAATGGATCGATGCAATCAACTGGTTTTCCTTAGATAGAAAACTTTGAATCAATTAAGACTGGATGATCTGGTTGAACTGTAAAGCACCTTGAGATGACGTGTTGTGAATTGGCGCTATAAAAATAAACTGAATTGAATTGTAGCACCTATCAAAAACGACTCAAGTTTTTACAAAAGATGAACTACAATACTGGGACAAGTTGAAATGTTAATAGATCAGCAGCTGTAATTCTGTGTTTGGTCACTAGGTGGCATTAATACCATACCTATATAGAATATCCTTTTATTTCTGTTTTGGTGGACTGAACTTCCTCTTTTTACCTTTAAAAATGAATGTTTGTTACACAAAAAAGGAGAAATTTGTTTACGATGTAAACAAAGTAAAGTGTAAGGGGGAAAATAAATTTTAATAGCATGATTAAAATTTCCTGAAAAGTGAAGATTTCTAAAAGCACATCCGCAGATTGCTGTCAGCACTGTGTGAGGTCCAGAAGATCTGTGTAGAGAGATAAACCCAATAGAAAAGGAACATACTGACTGCCTGTTTACTATGACTAATGGCATGTGGTTAGCAGTTGTGAAGGCAACTGGCCAGCCATCCGCTGGGGCCTGAGAAAAACAGGAAGCAGAGTGAGAACCGAGAACAGCAACTGAAACTGAAACAGAGGTTAGAGCTGTGGAAGAAGCCAGAGAAGTGGCTGAGAGCAGAGGGGGCCTCATGCTGACAAGTGTTCACCACGGCTCCTCGTGTCTCTACAGGCAACGACTTGCAACGGCTCAGCAGCCAACCTGTAATCCTGAACTCAGCCTGCAGGTTGGCTGAAGTCTCCAACAAAGGACCCGCCACAGGCCGTCCCCCTTGTTATCTTAACGGCTTCAGATATACGAGCTCTCTGAGGCCCAGCAGCCATAAAACCTGGACTCTGATCCTTCTGCTGACAGCAGATAACAGAGCCCTATCTGTGACGGTCATAAAATCATACTGAACACGCGGCAAATAATAAAAAAACAGGACTTTATTTCATTTAACATGTTGATTCACATGTAGATTTCAGAATGTACAGACAGACGTGATGAGACGCAGACCCATGATGGTTCTACTGGGTTTCAGCTAAATACTCAGTCCTTTAGAGTTTGCAGCTGAACATGAAGAGGGAAACTTTTTCCTAATTCCATGGCTCTAAATCACCAAAAAAACAGACAGACAGATATTTGATCAGCTTCCACTGCTGAGTCTAATCCATCATTAGCAGATTTTAGGACGGATGTCACCGTTAGGCTTCTTTAAGGCATCGACTCGTCCCTCTTCTTGTTCCTGTTTTATACGACAGGAAACACCTCGTGCAGTTTGGCACATTCAGCGTTTCAGCTGTTATCCTATAAAGCGTTCACTCTAGTCAAAGCAGCGACTCTGGTCCATAAAATCTGATGGGTTAAGTTATAAATATCACAGACGAGCTGCAGCGCCGGACTCCCATGCAGCTGCAGCCTGGTCTTTCAGAGCAACAATAAAGGCACGTGTTTGAAAGGTAAAGCAAGCAAAAAGCCCCTTAGATCCACGAGTCCTGAAGTAAAAATCACAGCAAAGCTTTGTGTGAATCCAGTGTTTCACTCTGGAGGGGTTTGTTCCCAAAGCCCTGCAGGCTCCCAGGGGCCCCGCTGGCTTCCTGTGCAGCTCGGCCCTCTCTGCTTTAGCCTGCTAGCTTCTAGCCGCTGCGGCTCTCAGAACGGCCACCAACCACCCCTGAGATCTCCTTTCTTTGTTGGAGGCAAAGATGAAGCTGTTATGGCGGATGTGTGCAGATAGAACTGAGACCCTGGGTTTGATAAAACATATCTAGTTGTTTTTTTCTATAAAAGGCACGACAGCAACTTTCTTTCCTGGACGAACTCAGATCCTGCAGCAGGAGCCACTCCGGCTACAGCTCAGCTAGCTTGAAGCTGGCCTGAGCCGTCAGTCTGAACTGGCTGGGTGCTGCTGGTCAGCTGGCTGAAAGCTGACTGATTGACTGGCTTCTCTCTCTAAAGGAAAGATCCGCCCCTCTGACGGCTACGCCACTGAAGAGCAGATTTAAGGATGAAAACTACAAGCAGCATGTCTGAAACTCACACTTTAAAAAATGAAACATACGTCAGATTTCCTCAGATTACTTTTATTTTCCCTTGTTTTGAGCAGGCAGGAAGATTCGATCTGATTAACAGGTAATTATTACCTGATTAAGGCGGCAACAAATCGATTACTCTGTTATTTGATCAAACAATTAATAATCAGATAGCAAAAAGGTTAATTTTATGTAAATAAATCAGGTGAAACAAAATGTTTGACAAAGCAGATTGACAAAAAGTTTCTTAAATGCTAAGTGTTTTTTTTTTTTTACAATTTTGACATAATTACTGCTTTAAGAGGGTTGCTCCGTAAGCTTAACGCATGTTTTAGAGTCTTTATACTCCAGTTAACGATTAATCGATCACTTAGTTTACGATTATTTCAATAATCCATCCGATTAACTGTTTCAGCCCTAAAAAGAACCCTGTTCTTCAGCTGTCAGATTAATATATTGTGTCGATCTAGAAATAGATTTTAACTCTTATGTCTCTAGAGTTAATATGGCAAAGAAAGATAATCCAAACATATTACTATTTAATTACATCATTTTCACCCGTTCTGTTAAACACACTGAGGGAATAAACGCCCTCCTTCAAACAAGTCTAAGAAAAAACATTGATAAACTGAATAACTGCCTAAGCAATAATAAAAGAGCTAATTTTAAATAGTAATTTAATAAGAATCCCTTTAATTTCATCTCTATATATACACTTTATTTTATTTATATTATTTGCTTTATTTCATGTCATTTTTCTCAGGTTCTATTAGACGGCAAGATCCTTTTAAGATTTTTTTAAGAATGGGGATTATTTAAAACAAATCCTCTTATTTTAAGGGAGTAAACACTTTTTCTATTGGCTAATCCGGTTATTTAGCTGCTCAAATGAAGGGAAAATAAACAGATTTTAGATCAGCTTTAAACCAGTAAACATCAGACGGTTCAATCTTAGATCCACACAAAAACTCAAAGATGTCGTCCTCCTGCTCTGACAGACAGTTTCTCTTATTCTGATTAGAATTTTCTATACAGCAAGATTAATAATCTCACAGAATCTGCTATTGCTTAGTTTATCAATCTCAAAATGAGTAAAGTTGATGGACACCTTTAGCAGTATAAACATGATCCTGAACCAGTTTGGCTCTGAGGCAACAGAGGCTGATTTAAATGAGCTCAATGAGACGATAAAAGGCCATCAAACGTTTGTCCGCCCGTCTTCAGGATTAGAAAAGTATTTTTTTCAAACCCTTTTGAATCAGAGTAGGAAGAAACTCTGAGTCTGTGGATTGTTGCTGATTTCCCGCCGGGCTGCGCCTGGTTTGAACAAAAAGGCACGTTTCTGCAGCAGAGCTGTGCTCCCCGCCTCTCTCTGTCTCTGTGCTGTCTGTAAGGTGCTGAAGCAATCAAACCCACACTATAGATCTATGTACATGGCGGAGGCCTGGCGGCGGTCCGTTAGCCCCCCCCACCCCGCTGCGGCGACGCATGGTCCAGTGTCTGCAGAGTGAGAATATAAATAGACCTTTGCCACTGGTTCCATGTGTCCCCAGCAGAGCGTCTAACTCAGTAGTTGAAGTCCTGGGCTTTGGTTGGATGGGTTAGGCGGTTTGAAACCACGGGAGGTGATTCCCAACCGCCTGCGTCACAAATAACGGACGGGATTCAAATCTTTGGTGAAAGGAGAACCTCTGCAGCAGCCACACATGGAGGACGCGGGTCTGGTCCTTCCGTCCGCCTCACACAGTAGGACGGCCTGCAGATCCGTCACACCGCCCCCTTAATGGCGGCCGGCGGAGCGCCGGTCCGTTAAAGAAGGGGAACCGGAGATCCGCAGAGATGTTGAAGCAAACCGTGGAGGTCAGGACGACGTGACGTCAGAGGTCTTCCTGATGACGCTGGCGCGCACCTCGCTGGGACTGGCGCTGGGCGAGGAAGCGTGAGAGTTTTGGCTGTAGGCGGGCGTCCAGCCGTCGATGTGGTAGCTGATGAGCGGCGCGGGGTCCTTCAGGCTGGTGACCCTGAAGTTGGACATGCTGGGGCTGACGAAGGTGGCCATGCTGGGGAGGGAACACGGCGGGACGCGCAGAACCGACGGGTACTCCCGCTTCCACGTCAGACCCACGGCCTGTTGGAGGAAAAAAGGTTAGAGCGTTTGAAAACATGCTGCCACAGCATGATGCTGCCACCACCATGCATCACGTTCTTAACACAGATCAGATAGAATGTAGGTACCCGATCTGCTCGGGGTCCTGCCCCTGCTGATGATGTCACAGTATGGCAACACCCTCAAACAAACTGTATGGCATCTCTTCTGGAGTTTCAACTTATTATTACCTATATTTGCTCTTATGTTTCTTTGGTGACCTAAGCTAGCGGAAAGCAGAAAACTATCATTCTCAGTCCAAAAACATTTGTTTCCAAGTTTGAAGACGTTTGGCTTCCCATCCAGGAAGCTTTTTCAATTCAAACGTCAGAAACAGCATTATTTTAGAGAGTAGCCCAACAAAGCCTTGTTTTGGCTTAGAAAACGGATGAACGGGTCCGTCCCTTAGGAACTGCTTCTTTTGTTAGCCTGAAATGTCCCACACCGGTCTGATTGGAATGAAAACACTTCCAGGATGGGAAGCAAAATGTCTTCAAACTTGGAAACAAAGTCCAGTGGATTGTTTTTTTTTGTTTTTTTCGGGAATGATTATGGATGACTGGGAATCTACACCAGCATGAATGCGTTCTCAGACTGAGCTCAGCCATTTAACGAGGTGACACGAAAAGTCTGAGTGCTTCTTTTTATCTAGATCTCAGAGCAGGGGAGGAATGGGACATCTTAGAAATGACTTTGATGGAGATTTTAGGCAAAGAAAATAAGTGATTCTACTTGTGGAACAATAACAGTGAGGCAGTTCACAGTTTATTGGGACCCCGCTGATTTCTAATCTGTTACCGCTCATATAGTGTAACACCTCTGGCACGCACAGAGCCTGAGCAGACCTGGTACTTACACCGGATCCTCACATCAGGACCAAGCTGCAGCCAGGACGCCCATTAAAATCCTTTACTGACCAAAACAGTGAAGGATTTTAATACTAAATATGATGGAAACTAAACGCAGCCGCAGTGACTGGAACTGTTTATAGGTGGGTGATTCTCAGAGGTTTAAGGGAAGTTTAGAGCCAGGAGATGTGAAGCTACATGTTAGAGTGAGTCACTGCAGAAACGCTCAGCTGAAAAAGCTGCATCTCTGTCTAATCAACAACCTAAATGTCCCTTATTTGTTTATCCGTCTCATAGTCACCATTCGTGTTTGATTGGTTAATTAATGTTTGGTTTGCTCAAACTGAGGCTGGTGTAACATTGTGTTATTTTTCATGTGAATTGAGGAAGAATTAAGCATCAGGGATCAGTTGGACGGATGTCTCCTGAACTGAAACAGGAAGAGACATCTGGCTTCTAAAAACAGCTTCCACCAACGGTGAAGACCAGTTTCTCTTTCAGAGTCTGAGATCAAAACACTTCAGGTTACCGGTTTCACGGCTGGTTTGAGCCGGTTCAGATCCATGTTTGAAAGCTGCTTTATTTCTGATTGTCCTCAAATTAAATGAGCTGCAGATTGTGCTTTTTTTTTTTTTTTTTAGATGGCAGCAAACAAAAAAGTCCAGAGGCGTGTCGACACTTTTCCAAGGTTATGCAGCAGCTGAATCAACAGGCATGATTCAGAGTAAATGTTTAACCCCTCTGATGCTTCTGCTGGAGCGGCCATCTTGGTTAAACAGGATAGAAGTGCGTTTCTCGTGGACTGGCAGTCGAGTGAATCTCTTGTTGGTGTGAAGAGGGGCAGAGATCAAACTGTTAATGTTTGACGGAGCGCACCCCCCCCCCCCCCCCCCAGATCACTCTGGCCTTTTGCAGTGTTACAGGAAGAAACAAACTCACACACCTGTAAAACCAAACAACCCTGCAGACCATCCCAAACTGTCGTCATGGCCACAAACTGTGAAACACCCTCCTACACTCACACCCTTTCTGAGCAGTACGGAGGAAACAGGTAGAAACCTGTTAAACGGAAAACTGGTCCGGCTGCTGATTCATGTGTGTGTGTGTGTGTGTGTGTGTGTGTGTTAGACCCACCTCTTTGTTGTCTTCTGTGTCGCTCTCTGTGTCGCTGCCTGTGGACGGAGGAGAGGAGCAATCAGGAGGAGTGAGACAGCGGCCACAGCGCTGCTACGCGCCGCCGTTACAGTTAGGTGTGAAAATTCCATTCAGTTTATTTCTATAGCGCCAATTCACCACACGTCATCTCACAGCACTTTACAGTTCACCAGATCATCCAATCAGATTGATTCAAAGTTTATACAGGAATGAGCAACTCTTATTTAATGCTTTTTATTGCACTTAGAAATAATTCTAATGCCATCAACAAGTACCCATGACGCTCATTCATATATATATATATATATATATATATATATATATATATATATATATATATACACAAATCCCTAATTTTCCAGGCACCATTATTTTAATATTTCCATTTTCTCCGCCTCAAGCTTCTTTTCCAAACATATGGCTTTACGATCACCCCAAAGCAGATCCGCGCAAATATATCACGATTTAATATATCTGAAAAAATTGTTTTTAGAAACTTGTTTTTATAAAGCATTTTAAATGCCACCATAATCACATTTAATGAATTTTAATGCCAATTACGGCCTTAATTTAATGTGATTCAAAGTTTTCTATCTAAGGATTGCATCGACTCATAAATATGAGCCGACTCATGCTTGCAGCGACAGTGGAGAGGAAAAACTCTCTTTTAACGGGAAGAAACCTCTAGCAGGACCAGGCTCAGTGTGAGCAGAGATTTGTATCTCTGCTTCTGTTTCTTTGAACCCCAGTCGGCACACTGAGCCTTGGTTCTGTTGGAGATTTCTTCCTGTTAAAAGGGAGTTTTTCCTCTCTACTGTCGCTGCAAGCATGCTTAATGTGAGGGATTGCCTTCGAGTCAATGCAATCAGCTGGTTTTCCTTAGATAGAAACCTTTAAATCAATTTGACTGGATGATCTGGTGAAATGTAACATGCCTTGAGATGACATGTGTTCTGAAATTGGCGCTATAGAAATAAACTGAATTGAATTAGATACAAAAGGCAGCTGTAAAAGGCGGCCCCATCCAGGAAACACACAGCCAGGCAGACGAGCTCCGAGCCAGCTCCCATATCAGAGGACGAAGAGAGCACATCCAGCCAGTCACAGTCAGAGAAACAGGACTACACTGAAAAACAGGCCGATCTCCAGCATCTATAAACAAAGGTGTCGATGGCAGCAGCAAAGCTGATATTTCTCTCCAGGATGGTGTCACAGCCAGAACAAACAACACCCAGGCAGAGAGGGAAGCTAAAGCCGCACAGGCTCAGCCTGGATGATCATCTGCCACCATCAGTTCATCAGCTCAGCATCTAACCACAGCTTCAGGACCGACCTCCATGATCACAGTCAGATCTGTTCATTCAGAAACCGCTCTGATGTTAAGGTGGTCTGTTTTTGGTCAGGAGCTTTTCTTCCCTCCTAACGTGTCGCGCTTTAGCAGGAAGTGTGTGGCGCCTCACCGCACGAAGACACAGGAGAGATCTGCAGCGGGTAGGAGTGGGAGGAGCTGACGGTCTGCTCCTCGTTCTCCGTGGTCACCTCGATGGTCTGGCACACGTCCGGCAGCTGCTCGCTTTGGATCAGCTGCTCCCCGGCTGAAGTGGCCATGGCTGCACAAAGCATCGCAGTCAGGAATCACACTGAATCTAGCTGGATATGGAGGAAAATCGGTTCCTCCGTAGAACACGGAGCCGTACCTGATGTACGGTTGGTCACTGTGAGCTCCAGAGCCTCCTCTTTAAGCCTGGCCTGTCTGGAGCAGTCGATGGGTCCGGCAAAGCCTTCAGAAAAAGTCGTGTTTGGAGACAGAGAAGCTCCCTGGAAAGAAGAGGATGGGAAGGGTTGGTTAAGTTAAAAACTAGAATCTATGGAGTAAAAACAACACCAAAAATAAGAGCCAAATCAGAGCAATAAATTAGTTTCATTAAAGATTAGCCATAACTGCAAAGTTTCCAAAAATCAGCCGATATGCAGAAAAATGGCCGACATATTCCAAAAGTATGCTGTAATGTCTTAAATGTCCACTTATTTATTTACTATTTATTATTTTCACTCATGTATAGCCTATTACTAAGCCTTCTGGGCTTAAAGGGTTTGATTTTTTCCTGCCATGTGACCATCATACATAACCTGAGATGTTGTCAAGGAATGTTTGTATTCTTTTTAATAAAAAATAAAAAATGGCTGACATTAATAAGGATTTATGGAGTAGCTAATCATTTTTCAATGAAAGCTCTGAGGTTTCCACAGAAGAGCTGGATTTATAAAAACACGGATGCTCTGAGGGGCACTGATCGGGTACGGCGTCCATCAGAGGGCCAGAGGTGTTTATTTATTGAACTTTGATGAGAGTAACTAAAGGTTTTATCTCAAACTATCCAACATTTTCCTGCCTTTTGATTTCAGGTGGAAATTTTTAGCCCCATCCCACCAAGCTGGGCTCCATCTACCAGTTAGGATTGTATTTGGGATCAGCAAAGTAAACAGGGCTGAAGGGAAAAGTGTTCCACACTGTTTGCATTGTTTATTCATAAATCTCCTTTTAATGAATTCATGCTATAGAACCAAGCACCGCTTTGTTGCAGCAGTAAAGTTGAACACATGGAGGTCTGTGGTGAGAAACATCATGGAGGTAGGAAGCTAGCTGCAGGCAGAACGCCACTGCTGCAGGAGGAGCAGATATTCCCAAACCTCGCACTGAAAAATGAAACATGGAGCGGCGAGCAGGAAGCTTCTCTGATTTAGAGGAACAACAGCTGGATCTCTGCCCTATTGGAGCCCCTCCCACTGGCTCCCAGTGTCTTATCTGATCCAGCATCATGTGGGAACAGGAAGGAGAGCTGATTGTTCAGCCCAGCCACTCCCCCCTTCGCTCTAGAGGAGTTTTTCTCCATCCTGGCAGGGGGAACTGCAGCTAAAACGCAATTCTGAGTAAAGTATTCCAACAATGAGCGACATGCTACCAAACTGGCCGTGGAGAGGAGATTTAATCTGCTGCAGGTTCAAGTTTACAGAAAGAAACAAGGAACCCCTCCACAGCCCGGGTTTTCACCTACCTCTTTACTTGCCTTTGCCTTCCCTTCCTTATCTGCCTTCTTCTTTCCTGAGAGGACAGTGATTGAAACCTTTTTAGATGGTTTTCCCCTTTAGTTGCAGAACAGATGAGGAAATCAGCGGCTCTCACCTTTCTTCAAGCTCCTCTCGGAGGAGGAGAGCATCTTATAAACTCTGAAGGCATTGGTTCCTTTCTTGATGCTCTTGTCCTTCACCTCCTCGATGTCGGGCAGGCTGTTCATGGCACAGCGGAAATTAGCCTTCCACGTCTTGGGATCGGGTCGGTCCACACCAGGCTGGTATTTACCTGCAGGAAACCTTTCTATATTTAGTTTTTTTTTAGCTTCTTGAGAGGGTTTAGAGTCAAGCAGAAACATCCTGAGTTTCACTCAGTAACTACAACCCTACAGGTAAAACCGGATATAGCAGCTTTTATCTAGAGAGCTTCCAGGAAGTTTTCACGCCCCTTGAACCTTTTAAAAACAACAGAGCTTAATGCGTTTATTATGCAATACATGATTTACATCATCTCTGCTCAAATATTCCAAAAAGAAAATGAAAAACAAACTTTGTTTCCAGGTTTCCACGTTTCGCTTCACATCCAGGAAGCTTTTTCAATTCAAAATGTCAAGAACAGCCTTGAGTTCGGGGTTTTATAGAGTGGACCAACAGTCTGTTCCAATTTGCATGTTTTCCAAACAAAAACAAGGTTTTATTGGGCTGCTGTATAAAACCTGGAACTCAACGCTATTCCTGACATTTTGAATTAAAAAAGCTTCCTGGATGGGAAGCTAAACGTCTTTAAAATTGGAAACAAAGTCCAGTGGATTGATTTTAACTTTTTTGGAATGACTCTGACCTGGACGACGGAAAACCTTCACCAGCAGACATACTGGAGCTCAGGGTGGAGCACTACCAACACATTTATGACCTACAGTTGTTTTTTACTCACATGGCAATAATATACGTTAAAACACAAACATTTTTAAAGGGGTGTGAATACTTTTAATAACAAAACATGTGAAGAGCAGCAAATAAATCATTTTCTGAGTTTAAGTCTAAAAACTGGAAGCAAAGTTTTCTGAATCTGCAATACATCAGGCGATGCACGCTTTGATTTGTAAATCAGTTTAATTTTTATTTCAGCTGAGGCTTATGTAACATTGTTTGATTTTTATTATGCAGATGAAGGAAGTGAGATCAGCTCAAAGACTCAGCAGCATAAACTGATGCCTGAATAATCGACATTGGCCTTAAATAACCAGCATCTGTTGCTTTCTTATCAAAGACTGATATTTTTTAGACTATAAGGGTTTAATCTACAATACTGAACGATCTGAACATTTGCTTCTCTTCCTGTCCTCAGCAATGTCTGCCTTTATAGACAATCAGAAGCAACCAATCATTTCACAGCTTAAAATTGCAGGAACTACAACATTTCTGACAGAATCGTCCCATTTTACTGACTAGGAAATTATTAGCTCCCTAAATCTGGATCCAAAACATATGACTGAGTATTTAGAGCCATACTGAAAGATGTTTGAAGATTTTAATTACAAAAATAAAGTCATGATATCAGCAGAATAATGCACTGGAAACACGATATAGAAATAACCAAAAATGTCCTAAATTAACTGTATTTACCCTTCATTTGAGTAGGTAATGGAGATAGTTTGCCAATAGAATGAGTATTTTTACTCTTGAAATAAGATAATTAGATAAAATGCACTTAAAATAAGAAAATCCGATTGTGTTTTCTTATTTTAAGTGTAAATTGTCTTGTTCCATTGGCAAAATATCTCCTTTACCTCCTCAATCCAAGAACAAGTTCACTTAATTTAAGAAAAAATTACTAGATTTTTTCTAGTTTGTCCTAATAATACATGTACGAGGTTAAAGTCGTAATATTACCAGAATAAAGCAAATATGTTATGAGAATAAAGTGGTAACATTGCCAGAGAACAGTCCTATTTTAGAATCATAGAGTTGAAATAAATCATGTCTCAACCTTAATATAAAGTCTTAGCAGTCTGAGTTCAAAAGCTGCAGTTTGGTTGATCCTCTATGGAAGCTTCCATCTTAATGTTAGAACATTAACAAAATAAAAACTTTATTCTCCTAATAAAAGACAGTAGAAGTTTTAATTTGGTCGTCTGAAAGCAGACTGGCTGCTGTTTGTTTTTCTAAACCAGTAAATGTGAGCCGACTCCGATTATGTGACAGAGATTTAGTGAAAGAGAAGCAGTGTGCTGCAGGTACCGGTGTGAATGGCCCATCTCATGAAGAGCGGAGCGTCTTTCTCCAGGTCCCAGCCGTGACGCGCCGCGTGCATCCAGGGGATCTGGAAGATTCTCTTCTCCTGAGGAAAAGCCAGTCTGTCAGTATTATAGAGGCGTCAGTGAGAGACAGCGCTGAAGCCAACACTTACTTTGTTAACCCATTTCAGTCCTGGGATCTGACAAGAATTAATCTGTTCCTCCAACCAGGGCCTCATCCTCATCCTCTCTACTGGCATTGCGATCTACGAGAGGAAAGTTCACAGGTTCAACAAACTACCAAACCCGTTGACCCACCATGCTGGACTGAACCGACCCGTCCAGAGCAGAACCTGACAATCCTGCATCCAATAATCTGGTAAACACATCCTTCACACATTGAACTTCCTGTTTCCTGTTAAATTTAAAACTAGTAGTTTCACCTGCAGCACATTTTCCTTTATAATCCTTACTATAGGAGTAAAATAAGGAACTGGACGATTATTTCAATGGCCTCACAGGAAACAGATCAGTCATATCAGTGCATGTCAACATCATTACATTCACACTAATAACTGTTTCTGAGAGTAGATGGACCCTTATTTAGCACATGGTTCTGTTTCCTTTCTAAGGGTTACATGGTTTAAAATACAGCTACTAAAAAAAAAGTTAACCCAGGGGCATTTAAAGCAACACTGCACTGCAAAAACCTTCTGAAAATTAGCAAAAAAGTCTTAAAATAAGGGCATTTACCCTTAATTTGAGTGGATGATCTGCCAATGGAATGAACATTTTTACCCTAAGAATAAGATAATTAGATATTATGCACTTGAAATAAAAGACCAAAGTTGTTTTTTCTTGTTTTAAATATAAATTGTTGTATTCTGTTGGAAAAGTGTCTCACTTACCTGCTCAACTAAAAAAAAAATGACTTAGATTTACATTTTTTGCAGCGTGTGCATCTTCTGAGCCACACTGCATAAACAATCTAGAAAAAAATAAGTAAAAATGTCTTAAATGAAGTGTATTTAACCTTAATTTGAGTAGGTAAATAAGAGGATTTGCCGATGGAATGCGTTATTTTACTCTTAAGATAATTAATGCATATTTAATTCAAATTAAGAGAAAACGCACCTGAAATAAGATGATGCAATTGTTTTATTCTTATTTTAAATGTAAATTGTGTTCTTCCCTTGGCAAAATGTTTCACTTCCTCAATCCAAGAGAAAAATACACTTATTTTAAGAAAAAATGACTTGTTAAGATTTACATTTTTGCAGTGCAGCAGTTTAATTTGATGCATTAAAAGATCAGTCAATATTCAGCTATTGATGCTTTCTCTCTAAACTCTCCTCTGTCACCTCAGAGGATGGGATCCATCTCTGATTGAGTCATGTGACCCAGAGCGCCGCGTCCCGTCATTCTGAACTCTGTATAGTTTTTACCCATTTATAAGGTCAGTACATTTGTGCAGTTCAAGTGCAATAATCCAAGTCAGCTACTGTGCGTCTTCCCTTAGCTCTCTACTGTGCACATATACTCATATCTAAGGGAAACATATTCCAGGATATTACAACTTATTTATTTTGGCTTTTTGGACTATATATACTTTTTTTATATTGTCTGCTGTATTTTTATCTTTACTGGCATCTTTATACTCCATATAAGCTGCTGGAACCAGAGTTTCCATGAAGGACTAATCCCAAGGGATACATAAAGTTGAGGGTATGTCTTAAACATCAGAGCTAACTAGGCTAACAGCTGTTACCCCTTGCTCACACTGGCTCCGGTGCGGTTACCGAGCCAACGGAGACCGCAACTCCCGCACACCCCCTCTCACACCGCCCTTTTGACTACGGTGCGGTGCGGCTCTGCGGCTCCGGCAACAGGTCCGGAGATTTAACTCGCGAGAACAGAAGTTCACTTGAGTTCACGTAACTTCACGCGATAACACGGCCCAAATAAGGATATTTGCGAGAGCTTGTTGCGGAGGGCTCCGGCACGCCACAAGGATAGCTTTCTTGCTGAATTTTCTGCAGCGCCAGAGTGTCTCGGTAACCGCAGCCGGACAGCTCAGCAGCCGGTGAGAGGGGTTTACGTCTTTTTAATGACTTGGAATCACTGTGGCGCCGCACCCACCGCACCGCAACGGTAAGACCGGAGTCGGTGTGAGCCTGGGGTTAGCTCTGACCCTCAGCTGATCAGACATGTTTCAGGTTCTCTGATGGAGGATTTCATCCAGAGGGTGAATGTGGCCTTGAATTTACCAGGAACTCCATTATTTTTAATCTACTGCTCCAAACTGGTCTGATACCAGAACCGGAACACAGCTTCATCCATCTACATCCAGCATCCTGGAGGACCGTGAACACTGGGACGGAACTCAATGGGAAAGGAACTTATTCTGATTTCAACCGTTGCGTATATTAGCTGCGACATATGAATCAAGATGCTATGACTGAAAAAATCTGATTGATAGATGACCGTTGATATATGATTGGCTGAATTTAGGCATTCAGGCTGATGTATAACTAACTGACCTGCATAAGATAACTAGAAAACCCCACAGAAATTAAGACAGGATTTTTTTATATAGAAATTTTCTAAATTGTGAGACAATATAGTCAGAGAAAGAGTTCATTTATATACACGTTTAAGCCAGAATGATTTGACATTTAAATATGACCTCCCTACAATTTTAAATGAAAGCTGATTAACAGGCTTTTGCTGAACTGCAATCATCATAATCAGCTGTGCTAAAGCAGGGAAACCTCTAAAACCTGCAGGACACTGACTTTGGGGATTCCTGATCTACAGTCCAGGTTTGCAGCTCCTGTCACGGAGCTTCACCTGACAGCTACAGGTCGAGCGCCCCTAGTGGCCAAACGTTACACAGTTTATTCCAAGAGAATCTGATTGTTAACTAAATAAATAACAGCAGGAAGTAATGCAAAAACAAATTGAAAACAAAGATAGCAATGGCTGCATGCTTCCTTAAGACCACAGAGGGAAAAAAGCTGCTGGTTCCTCATCAAAGTCCAGCAGGCCTGATGGTTCCTAGTCCTGTGGTGACAGACAGCAGCTCCCTGACAGGTCAGACCGGGTAATGTGGCAAAGCTCCAGCCTTTATCTAACACCTACCCCCATCATACCTACTATTTATTACTCAACTTCATTTCTGAGCAGATCTAGCCGGAAATTAAAAAAAAGTTCACTTAAAAACATTTTACTGCACTGAAATGACCTTTGTTCTACTGGCTTGTAAAAATAACCACGCCGATACATAAGATCTTATTCTCTAAATATTTTTAATCTACTTTAATCTATGAAATACGGTAATTATGTGAAAATAAAGCCAGTTATCAGAAAAGTAGCAAATACAGAACGGTAATTCCATATGAAATTCTAATGCTTTTTAAATCTCTAGCATTTAAGGAAAAAATATTAATTTCATATTTTAAGTTAAGCGTTTGAAAATTAAATATGCCATTTGAGTGCTAACTCTGCGCATCTGGAGCCGTTTGGTCTGAGCAAAGTTGAATTTCGCCTCGGAGGTCAAAAGTTTAGCGGAGTGTTTGCCTGAAGCCAGCGAGCTGAGCCACAAACTACCGAGACAAAAGTGAAAATAAATCCAACACCCCGCCAACGAACGAAAACTAAAAGAAACACACTCTAGCAGGGGGTACTTTCACTTACAGAGCGGAGCGAGGAGCTGTCATGTCGTCCCGTAGGAAGCCGCTGTGACACTGACCGCCCTGCCTGCGCAGCCAGCAGCTTAATATGCGGAAATAAAAGCGGTTACCTGGTCAGCTCGGCCGGCCTGGGGCTCCTCAGCGCCGCTGTCGGGTGGAATTCGCTCTGTCCGCGGAAGTCGGGCAGTCGGAGGGCTTAAAAATGCAAAAAAAAAAAACAGAGATGGTGTCGGTGGTTTATTTCTGTTTCTGCATTCAGACCGAAAGCAAAACAAGCGCTGCTTCGGGAAGTCGGGGCGCGTGCTGGAAATCCCCCTACGAACTCGCGAGCTTCGCTTCGCTCTGAGCCCAGCTGCCGAAGATCCTATGCGCGTTCCCATGCAAAATGCGAAGAGCGCTCACTCTGATTTGTATTTGGACTCGTTCCTCTTCTTGTTGCGAAAGAGGAGAATTCTAATACACCACGAATAGCGATCCTTTTAAATGCGTCTAACACCTTTATTAAAATAGTTAAGCCTAAAGTATAAAAAATACTGATAATATGTACCCATGCATTTGATATAAAACAATACGCGTATTTATTGAAACCGGCCTCGCCATCATCTCAACATAGACGAACTTTGAACTGGATTTCATTTTCGCTTCCTCAATCCCCCCTCCCTCGCGGACTCACCCACCGCAGCTTGTTTTTTTGTACACGCTCGGTGCCAGAAACGAAACCAGAAACTTCTCACAGCGGTGCACACGTTAGTGCAAAGCCCAGCAGCTGCAGCAGTTATTGAGAAACCGAATCTGCGTTTTATTTTCCAGAGTTTGCTACTGGTAAAATGCTGTGGTTGCTAAATAAATATTTTTCCAAACAGAATGTAAAAGTGCACTGCTGGATCTTAAAATCAGCTATCAAAACAATAAGCAGCTATATGATAATGAATCATGAACCATAACAACAGGAATGCACCACCAACAACAAAATAAATATTTTTTATTTTTGCTCTAAAATCTGGATTTAACTGCTGAAATTGAAATAATAAGAAACAAAAGCCAAGTTAGAGTTGCAAAAACACTTATACATAATGTTAAATACATGGATTTGCTGAAAAAATATTTTCACCCCTAATAGAATTAATAAAACATGTTTATTCTTTTATTTCAGTTAGATGTTTGTCCAAATACAGGTGCTGGTCATAAAATTAGAATATCATGAAAAAGTAGATTGATTTCAGTAATTCCATTTAAAAAGTGAAACTTGTATATTATATTCATACATTACATACAAACTCATATATTTCAGATGTTTATTTTGTTTAATTTTGATGATTACAAATGACAACAAATGAAAATCTCAAATTCATCATATCAGAAAATTAGAATATTGTGAAAAGGTTCAAAATTGATGGCCCCTGGTGCCACACTCTAATCAGCTAATTAACTCAAACCACCTGCAAAAGCCTTTAAATGGTCTTTCAGTCTAGTTCTATAGGCTACACAATCATGGGGAAGACTGCTGACTTGACAGTTGTCCAAAAGACGACCATCGACACCTTGCACAAGGAGGGCAAGACACAAAAGGTCATCGCTAAAGAGGCTGGCTGTTCACAGAGCTCAGTGTCCAAGCACATTAATAGAGAGGCGAAGGGAAGGAAAAGATGTGGTCGAAAAAAGTGTACAAGCAAGAGAGATAACCGCACCCTGGAGAGGATTGTGAAACAAAACCCCTTCAAAAATGTGGGGGAGATTCACAAAGAGTGGACTGCAGCTGGAGTGAGTGCTTCAAGAACCACCACACACAGACGTATGAAAGACATGGGTTTCTGCTGTCGCATTCCTTGTGTCAAGCCACTCTTGAACCACAGACAGCGTCAGAAGCGTCTTGCCTGGGCTAAAGAGAAACAGGACTGGACTGCTGGTGAGTGGTCCAAAGTCATGTTCTCTGATGAAAGTAAATTTTGCATTTCCTTTGGAAATCAAGGTCCCAGAGTCTGGAGGAAAAGAAGAGAGGCACTTCATCCACGTTGCTTGAAGTCCAGTGTAAAGTTTCCACAGTCAGTGATGGTTTGGGGTGCCATGTCATCTGCTGGTGTTGGTCCATTGTGTTTTCTGAGGTCCAGGGTCAACGCAGCCACATACCAGGAAGTTTTAGAGCACTTCATGCTTCCTGCAGCTGACCAACTTTTTGGAGATGCAGATTTCATTTTCCAACAGGACTTGGCACCTGCACACAGTGCCAAAGCTACCAGTACCTGGTTGAAGGACCATGGTATCCCTGTTCTTAATTGGCCAGCAAACTCTCCTGACCTTAACCCCATAGAAAATCTATGGGGTATTGTGAAGAAGAATATGCAATACACCAGACCCAACAATTCAGAAGAGCTAAAAGCCACTATTAGAGCAACCTGGGCTATCATAACACCTGAGCAGTGCCACAGACTGATCGACTCCATGCCACGCCGCATTGCTGCAGTAATACAGGCCAAAGGAGGCCCAACTAAATACTGAGTGCTGTACATGCTCATACTTTTCATGTTCATACTTTTCAGTTGGCCAACATTTCTATAAATCCTTTGTTTTTATTGGTCTTCAGTAATATTCTAATTTTCTGATATGATGAATTTGAGATTTTCATTTGTTGTCATTTGTAATCATCAAAATTAAACAAAATAAACATCTGAAATATATGAGTTTGTATGTAATGTATGAATATAATATACAAGTTTCACTTTTTAAATGGAATTACTGAAATCAATCTACTTTTTCATGATATTCTAATTTTATGACCAGCACCTGTATTGGGCTCCTGCAGCCAATTCTAAAAAAATAAGATGTTGATTTGATCCACTGTTATCCGTTTGTCCAAGGACTCGTTCTATATACAAACACATATTCAGATCCTGGTTTCTCTCTTATGCTCTCCTCAGAAGAATGCAAATTAAGTAATTGAAGAAGCTTGATTTTGTCTTTGTTAATCATTTTCATGTTGATCTGAGCAAACGTTTTGGATCGTTAAGCTCCTGAAACACCCAAAGACATTTTCCAACAGAGGAAAAGGCCCTGAGCATCACAGATCCTCTGCTGTGCAAATAGTGGTTCTAAAAAAGTAAAAAAAAAAAAAAAGCAATCCACTGGACTTGAAGACATTTCGCATCTTGCTAACCAGTTAGCAACTTAGTGCTAGCAGGTTCCCAATGGGAAATTCCAATGGGACCAAGTAGCACTAAATTGGTGACTTAGAAACGACACTGTCAAGGAACGCTATGGACAGAGGAAACATGCAAGAGGAGGAGAGTTTAGTGTTGGAGGTCGTGGATGAATCTCATCTGTCATACATTTTTTATTTAGAGGAGGAAAGCGGGGATGAAGTTGTTGTGGAAGAGGACGCCATGGCGGCAGAAGCTTGGTTTGGTGTAGAAGGCTTACAGCCGTACATGTTTGAGCCCTTGCCTCGCAACGCTGCCAGTTCTGTTAGCTCTACGCCTGCTGAAGACACAGACGTCCATCCCCATGAACACTGGGACGGAACTCAATGGGAAAGGACATTATTCTGATTTCTTATTTCAACCATTGCGTATATTAGCTGCGACCAAAAACATTTGATTGACAGATGAACGTTGATATATGATTGGCCGAATTTAGATGTTCAGGTTGACATATAACTAACGGCCCTGCATAAGATAAAGGGGGAAAAACACAGATTTTAAGACAATAAAAAAAAAAATAGAAATGTTCTAAATTTTGGCACTGATAAAGAGTAAATTTTATTACATATTTAACCCAGAATGATTGACATTTAAATATGACTTCCGTACAATTTTAACGCTAATTCCGACATTTTGAATTGAAAAAGCTTCCTGGATGGGAAGCAAAATGTCTTCAATCTTGGAACCAAAGTCCAGTTGATTGTTTTTAACTTTTTTTTGGAATGACTCTGACCTGGATGACTGAGAATCATCACCAGCATTGTGCTAATAGTATTGTTTATTTTTTTGCATTTTCAGTCTTGTCTGATGTTTCCAGTTAAAGTACCAGCTGAGTTTAGCAAACTCCACCTATTCGAGCCTCTAATAGAAGGCCTGAACATTACAGATATGGTTCCCTAAAAAACAAACATACAAACTTTTAGCTGTCATGTTTTGAATCTGATAAACAGGGGTTTCATTTTCCAGTTGCTCTTTTCTGGCCCTGAGGATCTACTACACTTTCTGTTTATATCATAGAGAGCACTGCCTGTTTTCACTGAGGAACAGAAAGCATTATTTTTTTATTATTTAAATCACCAACTCCTTACAGACAAAGTCTGTATCAGGGTATGTCAGGTAGCAGTAATGTAGCTCCTGCCCTGCCAGGGATTATCTGTCAGAGACACATGCTCTGCAGGGCGATACTCAGGGCGCGGCACAGCGTTTAAACATCAACAGAGAAACTTTGCATATGAAGCAAAACAATCCATGGCTGATTTTCTTTTAGGGGGTAGAGAGTCAATTTTAGTATTTGCATGGTAGAGCTTGTAGAAGTGTAAACTGGAGTCTAAAAGTAGGAAAGGTAAATAGAAAAGTTGTTTTAAGAGTTAAATTGAACCACAGGTGGAGTTCCTGGAACAGCAAAGAGCTTCTGACTGCAAACTGCTCGGAAACTTCCAGTGGTTTCCTCTGGTGGCTGCATGTTCACAGCATTACTACACGGTTTCATTCATTCACCATTTATCATCAAAGTGGAAATGACACCCTGTGTTTTTATCACACGCTGAAAAACAAGGCAGACGCTAATTCTATTGATAATTCTCTGTGTGGTTGGGGATTAAACTAGCCAACATGTCAGACAATCTTTGATTTAATTAAAAAAGTTTTTCTTCTGTTTTCTGTCATTAAATAATAACATCAGATCAGTTTGTATAATAAGGAACCAAAAAGGGGCTCCTGAAGGGGAACATTTGGCTGAAAACTAAAGAAGGTTCCAGAGCATTCTAATCAAAGTCAGGACTTTAGTCTCATTGAGCTCCGGTGGCGTAAACTGAAACAGGATGTTCATGTCTGAAAATCCTCCACTGAGGCTGAAGAAAAGAGGGGGACAGTTTCAGTTCACACTGAAGGACGCATATTCTCAGCTATCACAAGCACTCAGTGGGAGTTGTTGAGGATTTTAGGTTTGGGGTCCAACAGGGTCAGTTTGCACTGATCCAGCTGTACCAACAGGAAAATGATTGAAGTAAAACATCTGCATTTTCCAAATAATTCACTGAAGACGGGCTGCTCAGGTAAACAGTGAGTAGCACTGCAGCAGGGTTCGATTCCCGGCCTGGGGTCTTTCTGCATAGAGTTTGCTTGTT